GTGCCAACTTTGTTGCCATATGCACCCTATGCATCTTGTAGACTTCTTTTATGGCTTTTTGAGCCAAAAACCCCCATGCATGGATGTCAAGTTTGGGACTTTATGTATAAAAGGGGACCTAGGAGGCCAGATCTATGATTTGGATGCATTAAGACCCATTGAAATTGACTGAATAGTTTTAGACAAGGAGGGACTCGACAAGTCGGGTCGTATTTCCCCATTAAATCCTTCCTGTTGAAGGACCAGATGCTAGAAAGAAGAACCCTTAATTATCTAGGGTCATTAAGGGCCTGTAAATCATGGAACTTGGCGAGTAGACGAACAAACTCGGCGAGTTTAAGGCAATGTCCCAACCCTATGAAGACGGATTCGACGAGTCATAGACTAGACACGTTCATCTGGATGAAGATGGACTTGACGAGTCAAGGACGAACTCGACGAGTCGGTTGAAGATGTCCCGATGAGTGATTGAAGGCGAACTCGTCGAGCTCTTGCTAGACTCGACGAGTAGAGGCGGGATTATGGCATTTTATGGGTATGGGGACTCGGCGAGTTGAGTCAACCGGATGTTGACTTTGACCAAGGTTTTGTCTTTGACTTGGACTTGAGTGACCCTTGTAAGGGTTATGTGTATGAATTGATAACTTATAAGAGTTATTGTGTAGGGATTGAGGAGTCGGGGAGAGTCGATTTTCACACCGAGGATAGTACAGACACTACACGACATTGAGGTGAGTTACCTTTCAGTAGAAGTGGGTCTAAGGCACCAAGGACAACCCACTAGTAGTTGATTGTAGTTGAGATGATTGTCTTTGTGATAATTGTCTGGTTTGTTGTTACTTGATGTGTTTTATGTGCCAGCATGATATAGTATATGTGATAGTGGTAGTAGGAGGGGAATAATCCCCCGATTCGGTCGTTAGGACTGAAGGGTAGGTCGGATACCCCGGCTATGCTTGACAGCATGTTTAAGATATGTTATTATGTGTTAGTAGTAGGGGGTAAAATAGTCCCTGAGACTGGGTGAGATAGATTGGAGGGTAGACAGGCATCCCAGAATGGCCTGACACGAGTAGGTCAGCACCCCATAATGGCTTGATATGGGTAGGTCAGCACCCCAAAATGGCTTGAAATGGGCAGGTCGGGCACCCAAGAATTGCCCGGCTGTATGTATGATTAAATGGTATGTGGTATGATGGGAGAACTCACTAATCTTTGTGCTTACAGTTTTCAGTTTTGGTTTCAGGTACCTCCTTAGCTAAGGGGAAGGAGTCGACAGGGTAGCAACGCATCGCGCACACGATTCCGCTTTGAGGACCCTGGGATTTTACTCTGACATTTTACTATTTGATGTTATGATTTTTGATACTTGTGATTTGTGACTTGTGACTTGACGTTTTGAAATGATAGCAATGATGTTTCTTGTAAACTATTTTTATAAGTACTATAATTAAACAAAAAAATTTGGGTCTCGATTTTGGGATGTTACACTTTAAACATAAATATACTTCAAAATATGTAGGTTAGACTTGAAAATTTTAGTGAGTATTACCGATATTCAATGTTGGGAAAGTCGCTCGACGGTTGACTGGTGATAATGAATTAATCAGACTAGGTGGGGATTAATCGAGAACCCTTGATTATTAATAAAATTATTTTAAAAAATTAGTATATCCTAAAAAAATAAGTAATTTGGTAAATTTACATGGATGGTCCCGCGGTTTGGGGAAACTTGCACGGTTAGTCCTTGAGCAAGATTTTTAACTCGGACATCCCTAGAATTAAAATTTGTAACCCGTCTAGTCCTGCTACATCTGAAATGACTATATTGATCTTATTTATTTATTTTCTCTCATTTTTCTAATTTATTATTATATAAAATAAATATAAAAATTAAAATTAATAAAAAAAAATCCTAAACCGCCTCATCTCTACCTCCCCCTCCCTCTCCGATTAAAGCTCTCCCGCTATTGTGCCACTGTCTGTTTCCTTCCTTCAAATATACATATGAAATCAATTAGCCATGGTACAAATCCAGAAAAAAAAAGACGTAGAGAAAATCTACAAAAAGCCCAAAGAAATTGATTCGAAACCCTAGAAACCCCCAAATAAAAAGTAAATCCCCCGCTACAGTGTCACTGTCTGTAATTCTTCTTCATCCCCTATCACAAATATAAAGAATGCCACACACAACCATTATGGGGTCGATCGTGAACGGAAGGAAGTAAGAAGAATCGATTGGTGAAATTTATCTGGATATAAGGATATCAATTGAAGGTGGATTTGAAGGACTGAGTGAAACAGAAACCATCCTAAAAAAACACGTGAATGCTTCAAATTGTTTGGATTTAAAATGCAGGTGGCTTTTGATTTGTTTTCAAAAAACGCAGGTGGATTTTGATTTGATGTTGCTTTTGTCTTTAAATATTTGCTTCGTTTAATGTTCATGCTTGATGTGTATTAGTCTCAGTTTCATTATTGGTAGAGGATTTAAGTTCAAAATTTCATCAAATTCTTGTTGGGATATATGGGGAAGAAGTTGAAGGACTTTAGGTGGTGGAGGATAGAGGGAGATATGAGGATTTGGGTTGATTCCGGTCAGTGCTAAGGGATTTCCACACCTCCATTTATCGATTTATTTCTCAGGAAAAAGCCATGGAAGTCATAGATAGGAACAGGGGTTTCTATACCGTCGTTTTTTGTTAATGTTTATCGAAAAAAAACATGACATCATTGAAGATGGTTACCGGCGAATCAAAGTGGCCTACTGGTTACCGGCCCGATGATGACATCAATGTGGTTGCAAGCTATGGTAGTAATGGTGTCAATCGAACTTAGAGAAAGAGATGGAGACGAAGGAAACATAAGGTTAGAAAAACATGAGGTTTGGATATAGTGGGGTGGGTTTTTGGGTTTTTTATTATTTAAAATATAAATAATTAATAAAATATTTAAAAAAATGCAAGGGTAATACAATTATTTTAGATGTAGCAGGGACGAGATAGGTTATAAATTTTAATATTATGAAGCATACGAGTTAAAAATCTTGCTCAGGGACTAAGCGTGCAAGTTTCCCCAAACCACATGGACCATCCGTGTAATTTACCCTATGTATTTAAAAATTTAAAATTTTGGTATAATATTTTAAAATTTTGGTGTCATATTTGAAATTTAAAAAAAAAATTTGAAAATTTTAAATATTTTCCGCCTACGACCACCGATGACCGCCAAGTAACCTAATAGTAATCGGTTCAAGGACCCCCAAACCTGAGTTTGACCGATTTTGATCAATTTCTGTCAAGCACCCCAATCATAAATTGTTTAAGGTCATCAAATGATTAATCGACTATGAATGCTGATTTCTATAACACTGCGGACATTCAACATCGAGTAATTACAAGGAATTAGCATTTTCCTAAAAGAATGTAAACCCCCAAAAGATTACATGTCTCACATGGATGTTACAACAACATCATCAAGTCTTATAGAAGCCATGATATTACAACATTAAAATTCAAAATATTCTTGTAGTCATCATATAAGCAATGGTAGGTCTAAAACATAAAATCATGTGGTTCACTATTAAAGTAATAAAATCATGTGGTTCACTATTAAAGTAAAACCAATAGAAAACCATATAAGTTTTAGAAAACTTGATATATATATATATATATATATATATATATATATATATATATATATATATATATATATATATATGTGCCAAAATCATCAAGGTAGATCCTCTCAAATATTTAAGATACGTCAAAGATTATTTTTATATATAAATTTTAATAATAAAAAAGAGAGGATATTTTAGATGGACCAACTGATCCATCTTATGTATCTTTAGCCTTATCCTAACATAAGAACCATGTGTTGGAAACTAAACGTCACTTCGTCGATTTCAGACCTGAAATACATGTCAAATAAAATAAGATAAGTAGAATAATGTCTCATGAGAGACATACGTTTTGATGCAAAGCATTTTCAATTCAAATCAAGTATTTTACATTAGTTCAATGCATAATCCAAGCATGTATACTTTGTAAACGGTCTTATCTAATCTCTATAGTTTCCTTGTATCACGATGAGAAGAACAAATCAATTCATTTTGATAATCTAATCATTCCTAGTGCGCCTTACCCACCTAAACTAATATCATTATATGCCTTACCCATTTAGGTCACTTTAATACACATTTCCTAAAATGAATGGTGAAGACAACTACTACATGACAGGAGATGCCATCCCAATATTTATCCCAAGTGTTTGGATCAATGCCAAATAATATCAAGTTCGCATTTATTATGTATGTATGAGCATACATAAGAATTCTTCACTTTCGGTTCATATATCATTCACATAAAGTGTATGCAATGTACGATAACAATATTATCATACAAAATCTTTCATAAGAACATACTTTTCGAAAGGATGCTATTTAAAATACATTTATAATTCAATTCAAAAGAAAAAGCTCATGCTATAAGTAAGTGCAATCATTTGTGACATGTATCCCGTAATGAGTAAAAATACATATGCAATCATTTTAAGAGCTTAAAACTAAAATAACCTCGACCTTTGTCTTACCCAACTTCCACATCCATGTATGTCCGAGTATCAAAGATATGTATTTAATATCACAATAATCCAAAAATGTTAACAGTAGTACCATCTTTTCATTTCAATCAATTCCTTTGCCCTTGCCCCTTTATTAACACTATTTATACCGTCTTTCATTTAATCTAAATTAATATTTGGTCTTTTACGGACATGCCATCCTTATTTGGATGGTATAATTCTAATAGGTTATGAAGATTATACAAACACCGATTTGATACGGTTGTTTTATATATAATGTGGGATCTATAAAAGCTCTCAACACATCCTTAATTATTAAATGGTGGTGGCGGCTTCGAAATGAGTCGGGTTTACTATGGGCCAAAGTCATCTCAAGCATACATAACCTTGCTAACAAACATGATAATCATTACTCTATGAAATCAACTGCAGGGGCTTGGAACAATATTGCAAATATCGAAAAGGAACTAGTCAAAATGGGCATCCCTACCACCGATGTCATAAAAAAGCATGAGGTGTCAAACAGAAACTCTTGGACCTGCAGCCTCACGGGTGATGGGAGTTACCAGGTGTGTGCACTTAGACAGGTGCTTGACGTAAACAACAGTATAGATGAAAGAAAACTCTGGTGGATTAAAGAAGTACCGATCAAAGTGACATGCTTTGTGTGGAGGGCAAAGTTAGGACGAATCCCCACTACCTCGGCTCTATCCACTCGAGGTATCAGTCTTCCCTCTACATCTTGCTGCCAATGTGGACATAATGATGAAAATGACATCCATGTATTGGTGCAATGCCCATTCGCAAAAACTGTTCTGAAAGAGATATTTCACTGGTGTCAAATAGTATTGGTTGACTTTCAGTCGGTAAACGAGGTTCTAGATTATGCTTCAAACTGGGGAAATTGCCCAAAAAAGAAGAGGAGACTAATGGCCATACGTTATGGGACTTTATGGTCTATATGGAAGACAAGAAATGAAAGAGTATTCAACAACAGAAAGATGTGTGCCACGAAAGTTGTTGATATCATTATATTATCGACTTTCTTATGGTTCAAGGATAGAAATGGAAAAATGATGTCATATGGCCAAAATGGATTTCATATCCATTTAGCAGCATGTAATGGTTTGTTTTACTTTCTTAAACTTGTACTCTGTTTCCCGTTAGCTTCTTACTAGGTGGGGTTTGCTATTCCTTTATTAATACATCTCTCTTTTGCCGATTAAAAAAAAAAATCTAGGATGAATCATACTGGATGGTAGACAACACCTCAAGTTATCTTTTGATTCATATATCATTGTTTTTTCTTGACTTAAATCTCGATGTAGTAAGTTTAATGGTTCTTGGTCATATTAGTTAAAAGAAACAAATTTAATTCTTCACGACGTTTGGTTTTTTCTATTGTTAGTTTCTTGATAGTGTTTGTTTAATAAAATATTTCATTTTAGAAGAAAAAAAATTAATACATAACTAGTTGATACTATTCATGAAAAGTGAAAGTACTTTTGTGATCTATTATGTATCAAATATAAATCTATTAAAACCAAATAATAATAATTGAAATTTGAACATTATTCCCATGGGAAATTACGTTTGTACCCTTTTAACTAACACATATCCATCTTCGGAATCTATGGTGAATGACTACAAAACCACATCCCCAAATATATAAGAGGGGTTTAAAGCACTCCATCTCATTGCAATTCTCCATTTCTTGAGTATTGTTTTTATTACTTTTTCTAAAATCATCTTCTCCTCCTTATCATTGCAATAATCTGTTTATAATTAATACAGGTTGTTTGGAAAAATTCTCCGTAATTATCGAAATCGAACTGTACAGTTACGTGTTACATACGAATCAATCGGATCAATCAATTTCTCTTCGGACAGGTAATTCGACCCTGATCTATGTTATTTCTCGTCAATCTTTTCGATGAATTTGTTTTCCTTGGTTTTCGCTCGCAAATCGCTGTTTTGTTAGGTATAATTTGCCGAGATTTGGTCCGATCTCCGTGGGGTTTAAGCTAAACCTCCTTTTTTCTGTTACGAGAATTCCCTAAATCGTATGGAGATCGGATCGGATTCGTACAATATAGACTATTTTCTCCGATCGCGTTGAATTTGTGTCCTTTCCCGATTAAACCTTGTCGGTTAACAATTTTACGATGTAATTAATGCGAAATTCCGCTAAAAATCACGATGAAATCGGATTTGATTAATTCAGAACAATTTTGAACTTTTAATGATGGATTATATCTGTGGACAGCTTTTCTTAAGATGTTAACTCGATGTTGCATGGGTTTTGAGTTCTTTTATTTTTATTTTTTTGTCATTTTCGTATATTCTGTTGACAGTGTTTGACTAACCGCAACATTGATTTCATGTGTGGGGACTAATTAAAGCCATCTTTTATAGCATTTTTCCCTATATTTATCATCATTGATCTTATATCCAGATCCTGAGATCTAGCTTATTGGGTCAGCATGGTTTGTAGATTATCTGTTCGTTTACTTTTAGTTTTTCAATAATGTTCTTTCCTTAACCAATCAAACATCGAATTTCAAGTTTATAATCAACTTTGTGAGATGGTTACTTACATTTGTTGGCATTCATGATCTTTTGGCTCATAAAACCTTTTTGTTTAAGGAGTCATTTCCTTCCCTAAACTGAATTATTGAGTTTGATGATATTGTAGCAGACACAATTGGTGCGTGATTATAGTTGATGGTCTTTCATTAGCATGCATTCCTAAGATATGGTGGTGAAGAAGAGAATATATTATGGAGGATTTCATGGTTTGATAGCCCCTGTGATACCTAAAGCTCCTAGATCCTTAAGGGTGAGTTGAAAAAAGTTAAAAAATTTCCTTCACCAAACAATCTTAAACTCCAGATTTCAATTAACACATTCAGTTTGTTTCTTTCAGAGGAGGAGGAGTTCACAAATCAAACCATCAGAAGGTGGTGAAATCTGTGCTTTTGAGCTTTTAGCAGCTGTAGCTGGCAAGTTGTTACAGGAGAGTGAAAGTTCTATTTCCAGCACCGATAAACACAAACCACATGAAGTCAAAGTCAAACCTGCAACATCAGAACATGAGCATCATGATCAAGGAAGTGGTACAGAAAGTCAACCCACTAATCTTGACCCAACTGTGAACGAATTCCCACATTCCGATAATGATTCTGGTTTAGAACGCGCTTCTGTTTCTACAACTTGTGATGTCATACAGAAAATCGATACTAATTTGGGAATGGAAGCTTCTGAAGACAAAAACATAGTCAATGAGACTCCTATAGAGAGTCAACCAGCTAGTCAACCCACTGATCTAGAAGCATTAAGTGCAGTTAAAACGTATGGGTTAAAAGATGAGGTGGAAATGGAATCATGTGTAAATAATCATGTATTAAAGAAATCTTCTAGTAGGCTACATCTATCCTTGTATAGTGATCATGTTCACAGACATAATAGGGGAAATATGAAGATAGATATTAGAGATGATGATGAAAATTATTTTAGGTATAATCATTATAATAGTAAAAGGAGGGCGTTTGGGTCACGATCACATGCTGGATACAAAAGAATAAGGAATATTCTGACTTCTAGATATCGTAAAGTAGCTCCAAAACCCAAGGATTATGGTAATAACAATATTCCATTCTAGTAAACTAATTTTTTTTAATGTTTTATTTTTATTTGGTACTTTTTATTGGTTGTTTTAGGTAGTGAAGTTAGGTCCTTTTATCATAAAAGGAAAAATATATACATGAGAGAACAATATCAAGCAGATAAAGCATCTAAAAGGAGGAAGTCTTTCCATCATTGCTCAAAACCTGCAAACACTAAAGATACTCATGGTATTTCTCTCTTGAATATTATGTTAGGTTTTATAATCAACAAGTGTCTCTGATACAAATGATTTTTCTTGGTTTTAGTGAAATTTAGCATAAAGTCGTTTAAAGTGCCAGAATTATACGTTGAGGTACCCGAGACTGCAACTGTGGGTTCACTTAAGGTATGTTAATGAAATTAGTCACGTTTTGAGTATCTTTTTGTTAAATTCTAGATTCATATGATCTAAACATATATATATATATATATATATATATATATATATATATATATATATATATATATATATATTATGTTATGGAAATTGTGTTTTTTAGAGGAGTGTGATGGAGGCGATTACAGCTATTCTACAAGGTCAATTACATGTAGGGGTACTTGTTCAAGGCAAGAAAGTTAGAGATGACAACAGAACATTAGAACAAACAGGGATTTCCCAAAAATGCAATCTTGAATCATTAGGATTCACATTGGAGCCTACTTTACCTGAACCTTCTTCTCCATCTCCATCTCCATCTCCATCTCCTGTACAGAAAGAAACTCCATTGTTGATACCTTGTAGTCCTGTTTTGGAGAAGAATGAAGTAGAACATGTGAATGCAAGAAGTGAAGAAGAAGAAGAAGTGGAAGATTCAAAAGCTCTTGTGGTTGTAGATCCTGAGATACTCTCAATTGTCCCTTTGAGTGAAAAACCTACCAAAAGATATCAACTTTCACAAAGAAGAACCAGAAGACCTTTTTCAGTGTCTGAAGTAGAAGCACTTGTGGAAGCTGTTGAAACCCTTGGAGCTGGAAGGTCTGTATTTTTTTTAACTTTTAAAAATTAAAATTAAAAAAAAAAATTATTTTTTTTTAGTATTAATTTGTTTTTAAAAAAAAAAATGCAGATGGCGTGATGTTAAAATGCGTGCTTTTGATGATGCAAACCATCGAACTTACGTGGACTTGAAGGTAAGAAATATAATTTAATAATAATTAAAATATAAATTGGATAAATAAAATAATGTAATAATGATTTGATTTATGAACAGGATAAGTGGAAAACTTTGGTTCACACAGCGAGTATTTCGCCTCAACAAAGAAGGGGAGAGCCGGTCCCACAGGAGCTTCTTGACCGGGTCCTGGCAGCACATGCTTACTGGTCTCAACATCAAAATGAGAAGCATCAGAAGACAACAATGTAAAGAGAAGTTGATGTAATTTCATTTGTCCATCTTTTTTAGTAATTGTGATTCGTTTGGCCCAAATAGTGGTCCCTCCCGTACCTGGTACTGGTATTGGTACCAGGTAACTGAGGGACTGCTAAGGGGCCGGTTTGTAAATTATTTGGGACTGGGAAATAATGGCATTCTGACACAACTGTAAGTTTGCTCATCTGATTCCTTTGTGCATTTTGTAAATTTTCTAATGTATTTAACTTTGTTTTGATTCATCATTTGTTTTCTTTTTTATGATTTTATCTTGTTTATAGTTTGGGTCCAAATCCGACCCGGAAACCGGTTAATGAGATTTTGTAGGACTGGAAACTGGACCGGTATATAGGAATTGGTTCCGGGTAAAGTGGGTTTAGAAGCGAAAACCAGAATTTTTTGGCAATTGTTTAGTCAGTTGAACTTTGAAAAGTTCAACTTTGATATCTTGATTTTGGAAAACTGTAAGTCATTGGATATTAAACCAAAAATCACTAAATTACAATCTAAAATTATACTATACAAACTCTAAATTAAACGTTGAAAAAAACCGCATATTAATCCGATTTCAAACGAGTTAGATATGTATGTTTTAAAATTTTTAAGTTAAAAAAAATAAATAAATAAATAAAATTGAAAAATAGAAAATTTACAGCTTTTGATATCTCAACTTTGGGGGATTGTAATAAATCAATGAATTTAAACCAAAAATTAAAATTGGTTTGAGATAACTACAAGTCAATTTGATTTCAAATGAATGAGATATATACATATTTTAAATTTTTCATAGAAACTGGTTCTAGTTCTGGAGCCCTGTTTACCTTGACCCGAAGGACCCGAAATCCAGATAAAGCCATTCTTTTAACTCGGAACCCAACCTGGTTCTAATGGTTCCGCATCCCTATATGTAAGTATATGAAAATAAAATTCAAGTATATATACTCTTAAATGATTAGGTCACAATATTTTGCTTTACATTTATGGAAATTACGATAATTTCACCTACAACTTGAATTTTTAATTTGATGCCAAATAGTAGTTTTCATTTTCTTATCGGAATGTGGAAATAAATTTCCAATGTAAGTGTATTAATTTTTACTTAGTGTTAATTATATTGTCAACTTCTGAAACTAATTATTTGATAGTTAAACCACATATTGTGAGAGAGATTTGCTTATTATAAATTTATATGGGGATAAATTTGATTATATGATTATTTATGAAATCAAATAATCAGTTTCATACAATACTGATTAATAATTATAAAAAGAAGATAATTCCTACACAATAATTTTTTTTCCATACACAACATAACAAATTGGAAACCACTTGGGTTGTGGTGACTTAGTAATGCATATGGATTGTGGAAGATATGGTAGATAACCTGTTGATCCATGTTCAAATCCCGACACCATTTAGCTATTGTGGACATGAAGGTTCGTCTGCAGTGTCTCCAGAACATGAGGCAAAACTTCATGTTTGCAGCGGGGATTAGTCGGGCACGAAAGCTGACCCGAAAACCTAATAGGGAAGTTCCATTTCAAAAAAAAAAAAAAAAACATAACAAATTGTGCTTTAAAATGTTGTATTGTACAACATTATAAAATAAAAATTATTATATATAGAAAAATTATTGCATACGAATCTCTTACCATTATAAAATAAATTTTTTATTTACCTTAATTAAAAGAAATCCATTACTATAGTTTCCCAAAACACTTATTTTTCTTGCCCAATAATGTCCGTTTTGTCATTTAATATAGAGTTAATATAAATGCTTATAAACTCTCATTAATTATATTATCTCTGTAACTACCGCCATTTAATTATATTATCTTTATAACAATTTTCATTTTCATCCCATATATATATATATATATATATATATATATATATATATATATATATATATATATATATATATATATATATATATATATATATATATATATATATAAAAGAGTTAATATAAATGCTTATAAACTCTCATTAATTATATTATCTCTGTAACTACCGCCATTTAATTATATTATCTTTATAACAATTTTCATTTTCATCCATATATATATATATATATATATATATATATATATATATATATATATATATATATATATATATATATATATATATATATATATATATATATATATATATATATATATATCATTAGTTTGGTTTATATTTGCATGAACATGTATTATGTGGAGTTGTGGACATTGCTATTATGTGAAAATGATTAAGAGAATTTGTTGTTTGGTAATGTGAATGTGTTCAACATCACATAATGATTATCATTATCACATATTTTCACTAAATAAATCGTCTATAATGGTATTATGGGTTTTTTTTTTTTTTTTTTTTTTTTTTTTTTATGATTCTTATTTTGTCAGAATGTGTTCTTGATAATTATATTCTGAAAAAACAATACGTCGGAATAAAAATGAATAAAAAAATTAATGAGAATTCATGCTAATTGAGATATGTATGTGAGGTTGAACGTATTCACATTACTAAACAACATATTTTCTTAGTCATTCTCATAGAATAACAGTGTCCACACAAAACCACCAATGATCCATTTATAGAGATTAAAATGATATTAAAAAAACAACCATATAATGTTTTAGAATCACAACTTGTGGAGCCTTTGAACCCACTTGGTTTTGGGTGTTGATGAAGATAGAAAGATCAAAGACAATGATTTTCTCTACAAGTATCCACCATCAAGATTTATGCATTTGGAATGTTAGTTCCTATCTTGTATAAAGTACTCCTTAAGTCTTTAAGTGCTTAACTCAAATAAGCACTAAATGAGAAGCACTTTGAAGCATCAATTCTTTAATAGAGTTCAAAATACAAGAAGATGAAAGAAGAAGAAGAAGACGAAGCATGCTATAGTTCTAGAGAGAGGAGAAGAGAGAACCAAAAACTAGGAAAAAACTTCATGCAATATACCTCTTTAAATACCCCCATGCAAAGTAAAGTCTACCCATTATTTAAACATAAAGTATTAGCTACTAAAGCAAGCATCGGGGACAAGAGGAGAGAGGTTGACAAGCAACCTCCCATGCCTCTATATTTTGGCCATGGTCATCAAAAAAAAAAAAAAAAAAAAAAAAAGACAACCATTTTCTAATTAAACTAGTTTGATAATGGTAACTAGTTAATGAGTATAAGGTTGACCAAAGTGTCCAAAACTTTGTACACGACTTACTAAATAATATCATATGATATAATAAATAGTTATGCTCTTTTTAATTATTATTTTACAAAAACAATAATTATTACCTAATTAAATACAAGAGTTGATATTATTTATTAATAATCATATTGATAATAAATATACAGAATGTGTCAACTTGATAAATGTGTGACCCTATAGAATCATATGTTATTAACAATATCACTCAATAATGATTATTGAGCATTTAGATCAAATGACATATATGTTGCATAATGTAATATATATCTAGCTAAGAAAATGCCAAATATCGGATGGCACTCGTAAGCATAAGTTATAGTGTAGGGTTAAACTTAGGCCCCAAGTTTTGTTCATATCTTCCGCATACGAGTTCTGTTTTCAACATTCTTTATATCCATGAATTCGTATCGATGAGTACTACAACTTTCATTTAGAGTCGGTCGGCTAATTATTATTCTATTTCAAATTTATACGAGCTCCATTCTCAACATTCTCTATATCGAAGGATTCGTAATTTTATAGACATCAACTTTCTTTAGATAGTTTTGTCTAACGAGCGATCAAACTTTAACTTTTACCCGATGACACATACTACTGTACCATGTCGTTACGAAAAATTATAACTTCCTCATACAAATTCCGATTTAGGCGTTCTTGTTATAAATGATCTAATATTTATGAGGACTTCAATTATGCTTTAGATTATTTTGCTAAAAAACATCTTATATCCAGTTTACTTAGTATGACGCATATTGTCGTATCGGGTTAAACGCGAAACTTAGATAAATCATAACTTTCTAGATTTTGACATTCTTTATACCCACATAATCGTTATCACGGCTAGTACAACTTTTGTTAAGATCATTTATCCTAAATAATATTTTACTTTTCACACTTTATATAACATAATTTTGTTAAATTTTATAATACAGTTTTATACAAATACTATAAGCCCATAATATTTGTCCATAAAACATATACACAACATATAAATTTCATTTATATAACTTGAATCATGTACGAAAGATTTTTATTTATTTACGATTATCCTGTTCGAGGATTTAAATGTTCAATAAAACAATTATTTATAATTTATAATTCTTAAAATATCTAGCTCGAATTTGCAGGCATTACAGAAGGTTAGTGGTAGATGTGATAAGTTGATGTCGTCTTAGTACAATAAGAGTTATGCGATACTAAATCCATGTCAATACATAAAAAGAGAAGAATTTACGTGGTTGTGAGAAAAATTGACATTATTGATGAACAAGAAGTGATTCGTACAAAACAATAATGGGGCGAAGTGGTGAAACCATGCATGGCATGTTTGAGGTCATATAAGGATCGTTACAGGTCAACATACATGGTTAAGAAATCTTAAGTCTCTAAAACCATGTGGTTTTTGCATGTACACCATTTCTTAAAGGTGCTCGTGAAGAAATAAGTTATTCATATTGAGTTGGTGAACTAACCGGTGATGAAAGACAACAACACTAAAGAGAGACATCAAGATAGAACCATATGGATGATGAATGGTTTTACATTGGAACTAAATGTCCCATTAAGTAGATTATTGGACTTCGACTCTTGTCATTATCCACAAAACGATCTTTATATCAGGAAAAAGAGCCATTCATATTTTTTCTTTTTAAATAACCAAATGGAGTTAACAATATTTTCCTTATCAATTGAGGAGCAAACATCAATTTTTATTAGTAATAAATACATTAAACTGATATTCCATTGCATTAAACAAGTTAGGATCTTTAACAACCTAGACACAATTAAGGGAACTATGGATGAGAAATGAAAATGAAGGTTTAGTCTTTGAATGGATTTGGTTATATCAAGCTTAGGAGTAGTCATAGGGATGAACAAATGTGGTTTGAGGATCACTTAAGGGGTTGTTAGATTTATCGAGAGATAATGGGACAACCAAGTTTGAGCAATTAAAAGGAGGTCTAACAGCAGTTGGAGTGGCTGTAGGAGACCCCGGGTATTATTGGAGGTGGAACAGAGGCTACTGCGAAGCAACCT